CAATATGTAGGAATTCAAGATTTGATTTGCATGGGGACACAGCCAAACCATATCACCAACTGAAACTAGAAATCACATCATCCAATATTTATTCAAGGATTTTAATTGTCCAATAAATTGACTATAGTTATTTATCTAGTCACCAGAATTATAAGGATTACTAAAGTAGAGAATTCCTTTTAAAATGAAAATAGATAATTCCTTCGCATTAAATTATAAATTCATGATTAACAATGTAGTAGAATGCTTTGATCAAAGTGATTGATCAAAGTGATTATCCAAAGTGATTATCCAGGATTACTCTGTAAAGTAATATATGTTAAAAAGTTAGCTTGTTAGTTACCGCTTAAAGTCCATGCTGCTTATTGGTAAATAACATGTAGCTATATGTCTTTGAATATGTTTCTTAATATCGGTCATTAACTATTAAATTGACTTCTCAAGATATTGAAATGGACAGAGTCCCAGTTTCTTGTTATAATTAACTTTCTGTCTCTGCTTTTGACTGTTATTTTCCAAAGATGGCTGAGTTAATTATACAAATACAGTGAAAACAAAACATGTTACCTCAAAGAGATATCTCCTTAAAGAACATGGAAATGACTCCCCAGTTTTGAATAATTCAAATATTGACATGAATCTCCTTAGAATTACAGTGCTTTAACTTGCAGAGCATTGTTGAATGTAGTATTATTTATAAAACTTATATTATTTTGACCATTTTGAAATATGTTTTCATGTATTAAAAAATTAGAGATCAAATGACGGAATTATTTATATTATCCAGATTTGTATGGTGTGTTATAAGCTATGCATTATTTTATTTGGTATTTATGACCTTTTAAATAGACGTCCATAGCTAGTAAAGTGATAAGAACTGGAACTCACAATTTCTGACTCCAAACCCTATTGTCTGTCCACTATATCACTGCTGTTTAGCTAACAAAAGAAGGTTTATTTAGAATTAATTTACATTTTCTTGGGAAATTTTTCTGATTATGTTTTCTTTTGATTGTTTAAAGTATATAATTATTCCAGAGATGTTTTCTGGAAATAAAATTTAGAATTTAAATGTTTTCAGTGAATATCTTCATTTATAGATCTTGCCTTAGTACTTGTAGAGTAAAGGGCTCACATTTTATGTGTAGCTAAATAGATCTTATTATCTTACTTTAGGTTTGAAAACCATTTATCAAACATTTTTTTTCCTTTTCTTTCCTTTTCTTTTTTTTTTGCGGGGGGAGACAGAGTCTTGCTCTGTTGCCCAAGCTATGGGCGGGATTTTGTGCAGTGGGCGGGATCTTGGCTTACTGCAACCTCTGCCCCCCGGGTTCAAGCGATTCTCGTGCTCAGCCTTCTGAGTAGCTAGGATTACATGCTCCCGCCACGATGTCCAACTAAATTTTGTATTTTTAGTAGAGACGGGGTTTTACCATGTTCACCAGGCTGGTCTCAAACTCCTGACCTCAAGTGATTCACCCGCCTCAGCCTCCCAAAGTGCCAGTATTACAAGCATGAGCCACCGTGCCTGATTATAAAATATTTTTATAATTGACCCAGTAATTAGATCAACATATAAATGCCATTTCTGCACATTTATCTTTCAAAAATGATCAAAAAAACCTGTAATCATGAATATGTTATTTGAATATTTGTATTATGGAAATATTGGAAATTATCTCTATATCCTCCAAAAGAGTTATCTGTATTATGTACACTATTTGATTAAATTTGATGCAGCCATCAAAAGTGATCACTCTGAAAATTATTTAGCAAAATAAGAAAATGCTTATGCTGCATTTTTGAGCAAAAAGGGGCACCAAATAGTAGCTATCAACTATTTTTTAAAATGTGTGTATACAGAAGACTGGATGAGAAGAAAAAAATGAACCACAATGTTGTTAGAATTTTCAGATTTAATTTTACCTTCTGTGTTTCAAATTCTCTGTGTGGTAAACGTTATAATTTCTTACCCTGATTTTAATGATGAGGTTAAATTTGTTGAAATTTTGTTTGTTAGTTATAATTTGCTAATGTAACAATCTGTCTAAAAGATTTCTTTTGGGGATCAAAATAGTCTAAAGTGTCCTTGAGTTTATCAGAGAAACCAGACCAAACCCATATTGGGCAACCAAGGGATAGATCCCATTTTATTGATGGTGTCTATTAGGGAAAATGTGTTTTAAAAGCATGGGAAAGTTCATGTTCCCATAGGTACCCCACACTTCAGATGCACATCTAAGGCCTGGTAAACTTCCAGTCCCTCTGGCCTGTAACACTCACCAGCGCAAGTTTTCACAAGAGATTTTCCCTTTCTTCTTTATTTTTTCAAAGGCAAGAATAATGTGAGAGTAGCTATTACAGTATATTTATTTTGTCCCATTTCTTATGTCAGGAGAAACCTTAAGCTGCAAAAAAATAAAAATATGAAAGGGTCAAACATGCATATTATGCAAAAGAGGTTGATTGATTAAGTTCTTCTACCCTCAGAAAAGGTTGGTTTTAGGACACATTCTAAGCTAATTCTTAGTAATTAACTCTGCCTAAGTATTTTTTAGAATTCTTTCTAAATGCATCCCACAGGAGAGTAAAGAATGTAAAGTTATAATAAACCAATTCCTAACCTATAGAACTACCCCCCCCCCCACCTGCCATACACACACAAATACACACAGAACCTAAAAGTAGACTAACTTCAGGTCTTTTTTCTTGTTAATGTGGCAAAGAGTACACTAAATTGGAAAAATGGAATGTTAGTTCCTGATACATTTTGAGCATATTCAAGAAAGCAGGAATTACTGAGGAGTGAACAGCAGCCGGAAGAGATCAGTTATAGACCTTCTGCAAGTTTCCTGTTTGGTGATTCCTACACTGACGTAGATTTGCTTAAATAGAAAAGTAGCCCTGTTGTTTATGCAGTAGTATATGTTTGGTGTGTATACGCATGTTCACGCGTGCGCACACACACACCTTTTTATCATTATTTAATGTAGGCACATCACTCTTCCTGAGTATAGTGATGAGCCTCACATACAATAAGTTTTGATTAGGTACTAGGTACTGTTTTGTAAGCTCCATAGCTTATTCTAATGTTCAGCTGGAGAGGAGGATGATTATTCTGGGTAACAGCTTGATCATTTTTGCTTTATAAGTTATAAATCTTGGTTATAGTTTTATACTTTTTTTCTTCTGTTCAATAAGATAAATACACTACAAAAAAACAGAATGATGAATAAATTTTTAAGTCATTTTTGTATTTGTAATAAGTCTGTGTGTGGTGATGAATGACATTGGCTCATTATATGTATTTGGAACACAAAACTTTAGCTAGCTTGAGATTTCCAAGTAGTGCAAGATATCATTTATAATGTTCTTTTTAAAAATGTAGTGTGGTACAAATTATACTATCTCCTTTAAGAAGCACTTTCCTCGTAATAGTTTATGAATATAATGGGGGGAAAATACCCAGATTTAAATGCAATCGTTTTATTTCTACAAATTCAAGAAAACCTTTGCTTCCTAACTCATAGCAGTTACAGTTTCTCTTTCTTGCTTAACTTCAAAATAAAGTGCTTAGTATCTTCTTTTACTACTTGTGAAAGATACTTCAACAATTAAAAACTGTTTCCTTGAAGCTTGAAGAGCATGAGAAGTATTAGAAGGACATTCTGTGTTTTAGATGGCCCTCTTGTGGTAAAACGGTCAAACTATCATGAATAGAGACAGCTTTTTTTTTTTTTTTTTCTTTTTTTTGAGACGGAGTTTCGCTCTTGTTACCCAGGCTGGAGTGCAATGGCGCAGTCTCGGCTCACCGCAACCTCCGCCTCCTGGGTTCAGGCAATTCTCCTGCCTCAGCCTCCTGAGTAGCTGGGATTACAGGCACGCGCCACCATGCCCAGCTAATTTTTTGTATTTTTAGTAGAGACGGGGTTTCACCATGTTGACCAGGATGGTCTCGATCTCTTGCCCTCGTGATCCACCCGCCTCGGCCAAAATAGTAAGAGTCAAAATTGCGCAGATGAATGAGAAATAATCAATTTTTTCTTTTTCCTTAAGATCTCCATGGCAAAATCAACAGAATTAGCAAATACAAAACAAACAGACAATAACAAAACCAAAATATTTTTACTGGTTTATATAGCTACCAAGTGAATCTCTAAAGATCAAAAAATAACTCCTTCAAACATTTTCATAAAAAGCTATCAAATTTGATTTTTTTGTATTTTTCACTTGGAAATAATTTTATATTTACCCAAAAGTTGCAGAAATGGAGCCAAGAGTTTCTGTCAACCCTTCACTGAGCTAAACATTAATATCATATATAACTGTGGAATCTCATAAGACCAGAAAAAATAGCATTGATATACTGCTGTTAGGTAATCTACAGACTTTAATCAAATTTTACCAGTTGTCCTCCCAATATTCTTTCTCTGACTCCAAGCTCCTCCAGTTTGTGAAAATATCTCAATCTGTCTTGCATGACCTTGAGACTTTGGAAGAGTACTACTCGGTTATTATGTAAAGTATCTTTCCATTCACTTCATCTGATGTTTCCTCTTGATTAAATTCAGGTAGTAATACCACTACTTTGATTGTGTGTCCTTCTCATTGTATCATATCAGTAGGTACACAATGTCATTATGTATCACTGGTGATGTTAATTTTGGTCACTTGGTTAAAGTGATATCGGTCATGTTTCTTTACTTTAAAGTTACTGTTTTTCCCTTTGCAATTAATAAGTATATCAACACCATTTCAGATTATATTTTTACCATAATTAATGTTATAAATGCATTTTCTTTCTTATGGACATTTATACTGAAATGGAATTATAATTTGTAACTAATCTAGGAACGGCTGAAGTTACATTGTTGCATTGTTTGAAAATCATTTTTCCCCTTTCATCTATAGCCTTCTATCACTTGGCTTGCACTTAAAGTCTTCAGAAAGCTTCTAGTTGTTCATGTTGACTAAACCTCATGTACTTAATGATCTCATAGGTATGTCGAGAGTACCAGCGTGGCAATTGCAACAGAGGAGAAAATGATTGTCGGTTTGCTCATCCTGCTGACAGCACAATGATTGACACCAATGACAACACAGTCACTGTGTGTATGGATTACATCAAAGGGAGATGCTCTCGGGAAAAGTGCAAATATTTTCATCCCCCTGCACATTTGCAAGCCAAGATCAAGGCTGCCCAATACCAGGTCAACCAGGCTGCAGCTGCACAGGCTGCAGCCACCGCAGCTGCCATGGTGAGTAGAAACATCAGCTCTCTCCTTGATAGCAGTCAGAAAAGCAAAGTGAGCAACTATATCTGACTACAAACTATTCATTTATTAAGCTTTTGAAAAAAAATTGCTGAAGATATGTTTGTTCAGGTATCCCAGACAACATATAAAGAAGTTACTTTCACAGAAGTGAGGGTAACTCCTCAAATGGTTTAGATTGCTCCTACTCTTGGCCTAACTCTTACTCTGTCTTATTCTGGATGTAGGGTTTCTGAAATCTCTGCTTTGTAAAGAACCACCTGTCTCCTTTTCAATTTAACGATACTGCCATTTTCGGTCTTCTTATTTCTGTGTGCCATCTAATCAGCCATTGTTTTCCTTTGGTGTGTTCTTTTGCACATCAAGGCTCTTCTTTACATATATCTTGCTTTTAACAATAACATGATCTGGAACTATTTAGGAGAATTGTTTCAACAAAATTGTTCTTAAAATTAGCTACAGGATTTTGAACAGTACACTATCTAGATTGTCTGAAATAATATTGTGGCATAAACATAATAGTAAATTAGAGAAGCTTGACTATGCCATTCTATAGAAAGGAGAGAGACAGTAGCACTCGAGGAGTTAAAAATTAGATCATTAAGAATAGCTACTAAACTATATTTTCAAGGTAAATTTTAATGTGATCTAATAGCTGATTTTAATGAGCCCATTCTTTGTTCTTTGCTTAGCTGTTTTAATGTAGTCATTTTTAAATCTAAATATATGACAAATCAATGAAATATTCATTTTAAAGGTCACTGTGTAGTATTTCATAACACAGTGAAATAGTCACGAGAGAGATCTTTTCTGTGTTTGTTTATGGATACTTGAGCAAAAATACAGAAGGCAGACTCTCTCCTCCTCTCTTCCTTTCACTCTTTTTTTCTGTTAGAGTATCTTGTTCGTAATTAACTACAAAGAGGAGTTTATCCTCCCAATAACAACTCAGTAGTGCCTTTATTGTGCATGCTTAGTCTTGTTATTCGTTGTATATGGCATTCCGATGATTTGTTTTTTTATTTGTTTTTTCTCACCTACCCAAAAATGCACTGCTGCCCCCATGATGCACCTCTGCTTGCTGTTTATGTTAATGCGCTTGAACCCCACTGGCCCATTGCCATCATGTGCTCGCTGCCTGCTAATTAAGACTCAGTCGGCTGTCAAATCACTGAAGCGACCCCTCGAGGCAACCTTTGACCTGGTACTATGACCTTTCACCTTTTAGCTTGGCATGTAGCTTTATTGTAGATACAAGGTTTTTTTTTTTAAATCAACTTTAAAATATATATCCTTTTTTCTGTTATAGAGTTGTAAAGTACAATGAAAAAACTGAGTGTGGTTTCCTGACAAAATTAGTAGAAAGACTATAAGTACATAGATGGATATCATACAGTGAAAGATTCTGAAAGCCCAGCAGCCCACATTCAGTTTAACTACATTGTAGAATGTTCTAAAGAACTAGTTGGAGGACGTAAAGAGTGTATTTTTGAATGTATATTTATGTACCTGTTTGGTTAGCATGGCTTTAGTGGTAGAGTTATTTACATTTTAGTAAAGTTCAGTATTTAAGAAAAAAAATTGCATGCTCTGGGACATTTGCATGTCTAGGTAGATCTGGGGGGAGGAGCAGAGTGGGGTTAGTTTTTATTTTATCTGTTTCAGTCACTCTGTACAATTAACTATTAACATTGCTTATACTTGTCAATCCTCATGGAGCTCGCAGTGCGGCTTTTCTTCTTTACCCAAATCAGTGGCTTCTCACAGAAAGCCTGAAGCATTATGGGACATAAAGCACTTTAACTCATTATAACATGTGCTCTCGTACTAGTGAGATTTTGGTTTGGACAAAAATAATGCTTCCTTTAAAGCTTTTATCTTGCTTTTTTTTTTTCCTTAATTTTTTGTTCATTGATTTTTTTCCCCCCTCGGGTAGTTAAGTGCTCTGCTGCTTGCTTGCTCATGCTTCCTAACAATTTTAGCCTTCGACTGATTTTTCTTTTTTCTTTTTCTCTTTTTACTGGTATTTGTTTTTTATACTCATTCACTAAACAGGGAATTCCTCAAGCTGTACTTCCCCCATTACCAAAGAGGCCTGCTCTTGAAAAAACCAACGGTGCCACCGCAGTCTTTAACACTGGTATTTTCCAATACCAACAGGCTCTAGCCAACATGCAGTTACAACAGCATACAGCATTTCTCCCACCAGGTAAGGGGTGGGGTTTCTTAATAAATGAATCTGACAATCCACAGAGAGTCCTACTGTTAGAGCAGATAAACCACACCCCAAGTTTGTTTGTATTTATAGATGAGGTGTCAGGTAAGGTGGTCAATGATGGAAACTTATCTAAGGTGTCTCATGTGGTTTTCCTTAAAAACTAAAGATTTTAGCTTAATGAAATATGGTTTAAGGATCTGTGGTATTTTATATATTTATTCATGTTTGTGTAATTTGGAAATGAAATATGGTTCTCTTTTTTTCTCTTTCCTCAACATTGTTATATGTCTGTCAAGCTATTTTATGATACTTTCTTGCTGTAAGACCCCTTTGCCTTCATTATTCCATAGAATTGATTTAAATTATATGAAATGACACTTTCAGTTTTGATTTTTACTTTTCAGCCATTTTGTTTACAAGGTCAAGAATGAAAAAAAACTTTGTGTTCTAGAGCTCTTAAAAAGGGCTCTTATTGGTTAAAATTATTACTGTTCATAAGCTAATATTGAAATAGCCCTAAGTGCTCAGCAATGTTTACATTTATTATGGAGTTTCCATTTGTGGTTTCAGCTCATTTTCAATTTGGTAATGTATACATAATCTGGAATTATTCACACAGATTTCAAAGAATAAAATACAGACTAGCTACTCATTTAATTGCCTGAAAATTTACTCTTTTTATTCACTCTGAATTTATTTCAGAAAATACATATAAACTAATTATTATCTGGAATTTTACTAACCAGAAACTCTAATCTCACTTTACTCTTTATCACTTCACCCTTATTTTCAGAATACCATGGTTTTAGAGATTTATTTAATAAAATTATTTTATTAATGAAAATAATGAGTAGATATATATGTCAAAAATCCAGCTCCCAATTTTATATTCAAATATATTGGCAGTATTTACAGTGTATTAGGTTCATAATGCTATAACAGAATGCAAATTTATTTTTGAGTCATAAACAAAATAATAAATTACATCTATATGAATTTTTACTCCTAACCATAACATTTTATACGGTGCATCTTTGAAAATCAGCCATCCATATGTAGAATTAATATGAAGTAACATTTAATTAAGTAGGATATTCCACTAGCTGAAATAGCCAGTGCCCCAGACACATGTATAAAATGATATTTGTACTCGTAAAATAGTTATCTATCAAGTTGCAGTTTGTCCATATTGGAACAAAAATTAAGTCATTTTGACCTGTAGTGTACTTGTTGCATTCTGAGGGAAAACTCACACTTCTCTTACGTTTCGTAATATTGTAACTTCCCTCTCAACATCTATAGTTTTTCATAAATTTCCAGAAATTAATCCTCTCGCTCTCGTGCAAGTTGCTGTGTCCCTAGACTTTCGCTGCTCCGAACAAACAATCCATAGTTTTTCTGTAGTCAGACGAACAGACAAGGTTTCAAGTTATTATATGTAACTGTCATAATCTCTTTGAAGAAATTAAAACTTATTTTTGTCAGTTTATTTTATTGGCTAAAACATTACCATGAGAAATGACAGTTTTGGCTAGACCGATGGTAGTGAGTTATCTCAATTGATTGTTCACAGTCAGTTTCAGATATAACTCCTCTACTCACTCCCCTCTTCTTGCTACCACACTTGGCTAGTCTTTTAAAAATGTGATAGTTTCTCTACTAAAGTCTAAAAAACAAATCTATGCTATTTAAAGAAATCGGAAATAATCTATTTTATCAAATAGGTTTCACATTTGTTTTTTTAACATTCAAATGATTATAGTTTTTTTCCTAAATAAGAGTAACCATCAGTCGTATGGTATGATGGCCCTTATTTGTGATACTAGTATCTCCCTAGAATAGTTTTTTTGTCTGTGGATAGAACCAAAGATGGTAGGTAAAGGTCAAATTAGGAAAATAATAAACTCGTTCATAAATCAGAATCATACTTGTCTCTCTGTTCTAGGTTAAGCACTGCTAATTTAAACAAAATCTTCATTAATTGAAATATGCTGAAAATATTAAGATATATTTGCATTTATTGCAATGCATTTTGCATCAGAGATATTCCATTCTTTATCAATATTTTTCAAATATAAGCCAGGCACGGTGGCTCCCTCGCCTGTAATCCCAGCACTTTGGGTGGTGTCTCACTTGAGGTCAGAAGTTTGAGACCAGCCTGGCCACCAGCATGGTGAAACACTGTCTCTACTAAAAAGGCAAAAGTAAGCCAGACGTGGTGGCACATGCCTGTAATCCCAGCTACTCGGGTGGCTGAGGGAGGAGAATCACTTGAACCCAGAAGGCAGAGGTTGCAGAAAACTGAGATCATGCCACTGCACTCCAGCCTGGGTGACAGAGCAAGACTCATCTCTAATAAATAAATAAATAAAATTATGTGTGTGTGTGTGTGTGTGTATGCACACACACGTGCATGCACACCCACATACACACATATATATTTCTCAAATATAATCAATATAATATTAGTATCATAAAATAACATTTATTTGCAACTTAGTTTTAACGGCCTGAAGCAGCAGGTTGACCTTTATTAATCACATAATCAGAAGTAAGTAGTGACTCCATGATTATTTACAAGTATTTTCATTATATAATATGTACCTGTGTGCAAAAAATTGACCCTATGGCATGAAAAGGTTAAAAGGGATAAGTCATCGTTATTTCTGCCCCACCACTTTGTCAGACAGTCAGAAAGGAAAAAAGTCTAATGCAGGGAATGTAAATGCAAAAGCCTCAGGGTTCAGGAAGGAAACACAAGTGAAGCAAGAAACAAATTGGGAGCTGTGGGATCTGGGAGGCACAGGGGAGCACAGGCTCAGTCTAAAAGAGTATTGTCAATGTTCAGACTTTGCCTTTCTCGCCTCAAAGGATTGTCTGCCTGGGCAGGTTGTACCTGGTGTACTACAAACCCTTTGTAGCACCATTTACATCATAGTCTATGTAAACCACAGTTGATTATGTATATACCTCGTAGGGTTGGTTATACAAACCTACACAACCTAACACAGTAGCCCTGATATACAGTGCTGCTGTGTCTGATTTTTTTCCCCAGATATTCTGGACATCTGTGTGCTTATATGTGAAATTTCTCAATATTTAAATTTCTGTGATTAATTCAGATTTTTAAGAACACCCTTTGAGAACTAAAGGAAATCTTACTACAAATTCACAAATGATCTATGTCTAATACCTTGGAGAAAAGGAATTTCATTTTCCAAAGTTTGGTTGTTCTGCAGACAAATAATACAGAAGAATGATATGATCAAGGAATTAGATAGTATCACAGTATAATAATTTGGAAGGTATGCTCTGAAGATTTTATTGGGACTAGGAAGAAAATGGAATTCTTTTAGTTTTTCACAGCTCAAATTTTAGAGATATATAGTCTGTTTATTCAATGATGATTCTGATATGTAGACCTATTTTATTCAAATTACAGTGAAGCATGATTAGCTAAATTCTTAAAGCAGGTGACTGCGTATACAGAGTAGGTTGTTGGCAAAAGATCAGGGCAGTGACAAGCCAGCCAGCTAGCTAAGAAAAATTACTACATACTTTAAGAACATAATTGGATTTACTATGGACATTACCCATCTAATCATCATTCAGCCATCTATCCATTCATCCTCCTATCATTCTGTCCTCCCATCTTCTTTCCTCATTTATCCTTGTTTCCTTCCTCCCTTCCTCTATTCTTCCATTTTCCATCCATCTATTCATCCACCCATTTATCTATTCACCCATATTTCCATTTATTCAGTAATAAATATTGGTGTATGCCACATAGTATACCAGTATTTATGTGAAGGATTGCAAATTCATGGCCCAAGGGTAAAATCTAGTATCTAGAAATATTTTTGTTTGTTTAAGAGTGTTTAAATGAAAACTAAATGTAAATCCTTTAGATCGACACATACTGTACCCTTCGGTTCCAAGCCTACAATTCCCTATTACCTTAGGCCAAGTTTTTTCACACATTTTGTCCAAAAGAGCCACTTTTTATTGAATGGTTGCTCTGGTTCCATGCTACACTGAGTGCGTTGTGCACATTATCTCATTTTTTTATAACACCAAAAAGGTTGGCATTAATATTTTCATTTTACCAATGAGTAATTTGAATCCTAATGAGGTACAGTGATTTGTCCCAAGTTAAATGACTTTTATAAGGTTTAGATTTAAGTATAACTTGAAGTCAAGTCAGGCTGGCCTGGGTTAGTCTCCCAATATCTATGAGCTTATTACACGAACACCTTAAAAATAATTTGGGAGAGTGGAAGTAGCCCTTACTGATCACCTAACTCCATGGTGTTTTACACCTTCCACCTCATTTAAAGATAAATAAGTATTAGGTTAAATTCATACTGAAGTTTTGTTTTTTCAAATTTAGATATATACTTGTTTTAACCTTCCCTTTTCAGGGCCAGATTGATTATTTGGAGATATTATGCATAATTTAGAATCTATTTATGTTACAGGTATAAATTTTCACTCATGAAATTAGGGTGTATAAGAAATACCACTTTCAGGCCGGGCACGGTGGCTCAAGCCTGTAATCCCAGCACTTTGGGAGGCCGAGGCGGATGGATCACAAGGTCAACAGATCGAGACCATCCTGGTCAACATGATGAAATCCTGTCTCTACTAAAAATTACAAAAAATTAGCTGGGCATGGTGGCGCGTGCCTGTAATCCCAGCTACTCAGGAGGCTGAGGCAGGAGAATTGCCTGAACCCAGGGGGCGGAGGTTGCGGTGAGCCGAGATTGCGCCATTGCACTCCAGCCTGGGTAACAAGAGCGAAACTCCGTCTCAAAAAAAAAAAAAAAAAAAAAAAAAAGAAATACCACTTTCCCTTACATAATTTTTTCCCTTGAAATTAATTTAAGTCTAGCTCTGATCTCTAATCTCCATCTCCCTGGGTTGAGAGAGAAATTAAATTAAGTCTAGCTCTGATCTCTAATCTCCATCTCCCTGGGAATCCAGGACTCCATCCCCCAGCCCCTCTCTCTCCTGACCTTACTTTGAGTGAGGTCTTGTGCAGTCTGGTATTCTCAGACAGGCTATGTATTCTTCATTCTTCATTCCTCAGTCACCACTGCTCACTACTGATAATATCATTGCCTATGCTTACAAGAGCTCTCAGGCAGGTACTCTGAGGGTTCTGTGCTTGCCTTGGGTATAGGCTTCCTTGTCCTATGTACTGCAGGCTTCCGTGCCCTTGAAGGCCTGCTGTCTGTAGGGCTGTTGTGAAAGAACAGGCTACCTACCCAGCTGCCTGTGGAGCTGCACACTGCCTACCACTTCAATCTTGAGGCACTTTTTTCTCTGCCCTACATGATCACTTTTGCCTTCTTACCATCGTCAGAAGCACACCTCTCACATATCTCCCTCTCTTGCATATCTCCCTCAATCAAGGTTGGCTTATGAGTTGTAACAGTTCTAAAAATACATTTGCTTTAAACAAATTCTACTTTGGCTTGTATTACAACCCCACCAAGAATAGCAACAAACGCCAGGAAACTTTCTTAGGTGGTGGTGTGTAGGTATAAGGGTGGGGATAGGCGGGGCTGTGTTTATAGAAAGAAGAGAAACAAAAAGATTTGTCACATTTAGTGTCATTAATAAATATAGTCATTCATAGTTATATATTAATTATTTATAATAAAATAAAGAAAGTACTGTTTGTTTGGATACCAATTTTGAGAATAATCCAACTGATTGTTAACTTTTAGTTTTAAAATGATATACACTGTTTTTAGTAGATCTTAATCAGCTTAACACTTATAATCAACCTAAATAGGCCTGAAGTATTACATCAAAATTCTAACTTCCAACTAAATCTTTATTATAATTCTTTTTCTCTCTTCTACTTATTTCCCTTCTACTTCAAGTAATTTTAACTATGCATACATCTTATTTGTAAGTTTTTATCCTAGTTTTTCCTACATTTTCATACATATCAATTAAAATTTTTTATTTAAAGAGTTGTGCAATGAAAATAACACATTTCTTAGAAATACACCATTCTGCTCTGCAGATATCGTTGTAGGGAAAATTGGAAATTGACAAATACATTCACTTAAATTTTGCTTTGTGCTGAAAATTGAGGAAAAATTTAAATTGGCCATTTGCACATTATTATTAGTAAATCAACCCATGTAAAGATGGGAATTACAGTCATTTCAAAAGTGATTTCGTTTTTGGTAAGTGGGTCCTACAGCATTATGTCCTCATATTTGTGAGTTACTGCACCCTGGCTAGTATTATCATTGCTGCCCTTATGTTTATTTGCTGCAAATCCCTTTCAAAACTGTGTGCATTGGTTATAATGGTAATGAGGAAGATAACTCAAACTAAAATTTAAATCATAAAAGCTTTAGAGTTTGAGAGAGATAGTATAAGGTTAACTCATTTTCGGCATGTGCAGGCTTAATTATGCATGGGATGAAATATAGTAGGCAAATCTCAGCATAATAATAAATAATTGAAACATATAACCCATACAGTATTTAAACTGGCTTTAATATTCCTTAATTATCACATTATTCTTTTTCATTTGTCGTTTCTTTTCCAATTCTCTCACCCTACCATTAAGACAGTAATGATTTCATAAGATGTAGATCCAGTATTAAGTTTTGCTTGCTCTACTGTCTCAAATTATTATAACTTCTTTGTTATTACTGGCTTGTTTCTGTTTGTCTTTCACAAGTCTTTGACTCAGTAGTAGTAGCAAATGACAGGGATCATCAAGTGTCATAATGCTTGTCAATATATTATTATTCTACCTGATACAATGTGTCCCCAGATTCATTACAGAGTTTAATCATTGATCACTGTGCTCACAGTCTAATTGTGATAACAAACTAATTGCAGCTGTTACAGGGATGCCAGTTAAGTAATCCACGTTTGAGTTGAGTTTCTCAATGGCAGCTTCATTTTATAGGACCATCTCTGACAAGATTCATTTGGCAGATACTTTTCTAACAAATGTTCATCCCAGATGCTGCTAGTATTTAAACAGGATATGCCAAGATTTAGATAGAAATATAAAATCCTTTGATATTTTAAAATTTAGAATTCTAAAATAATCCCATAGAAAGAACAGTAGTTCTGCATACGGGAAAGTGCCCTGTACTTGGTAAAATAAGTTAAATTTTCAATATTTACATGTCAGAGAGAACAAGGACTATCTATAGATGCACCATTTATTTTTGCTTATCATGGTTGAACAATTGTCAGCATCAGTGCTAACACCCCATATGTGATGTATGTATCTTCACTATCTCCCACTCAAGGTTTTTAGTGAAGTCTAATTAGCAGTTTCTTATATGCGAAATTTTCTTGAACATTTGCTACTCCCAGAAGTCTTGAAGGTCTAAAGCAGCAATGAAAACCACTCTGATTTCCTAGATAACATGAAGTAAACCAATTTGATCCTTACAAGAAGTTATGTTCCCTCTTCATGCTTTTCCTACATTTTAATTTCAAACTAAGGAAATGCAGAAATTTCACTTTTTTATGTGTAATTTATTGCTTGGTATAGCTCCAAATATAAATTCTGTATGAATAATCACAACCCCTTCCATGTCTGTATGTTTGCTGCTACAATGAACAGGAAAATAAAACAAAAGGAATAAAATAAATGTTTGGGTTTCATTATATTTTTAAGTCAGTTTTGTACATTGAGTTATTTAGTATTTAATAATAAATAATATATTTAATAAGTTAGTATGTGCTTGATATAAAGAAAATGTTAAGGCATTCATAAGTTAAAGTCAGAAACAGCAAAGCAACCAGATGGTTAGTAATCAGATTAAAACAAAACAGATTACAATATTATTTTTAAAATAATGAAGTGGATTTAAATTAGTTCCAAAGTGCTTTTGCTTATAGACAACAATTAAGAGAAACAAAGTGTACCAGCACACAGTTAAACTGGCTTTTATTCTTCACTTGAGACTAGTTCTAATTGATCACTGTGCTGTTGTATGATTTGATTGTGCTGACAGTTACATGCCACTGTTCCCATAATAACAATTTTTCTTCTTTGTTCAAATGAATTTTCTAATTACACGTGTGATGGGATGTTTTAATTCTTTTCCCTTTTCAAATCCACCTTCCTGTTGCAATGCATGATGGGCAGGCTCAATATTGTGCATGACACCCGCTACAAGTGTTGGTAGGTGCCAGCTTTGTTTCTTGATTATCTTAAACCTATGATGTACCTCACAGCCCCTCAAAATCCACTGCTAAGTTTAACTTATATCTATTGGGTAAGTCCATTTCCCTTTTACTAACACCTGTCAATTAAATGCCATTTTCTATTTAATTGACATGGACTCACATAAATGTTTTCTTTACACACAACAGTTTCCTTTAGTCACCTTTGGTGGATTTTGATTGGACTATGAGTTCTGGTGTATAAAAAAAAAATCTGTTTCATAAAAGTAATATACTGTATATTTTTATAATAGTAAATGAGAAAAAAAATACTTTCATTCAAACAGACAACTGTATATATTAAGTAAATACTTGTACCTTGACTTAGATTTTAAATGTCTGCTATGAACACTATATAAAATTCTTGTTTTTGACTTAGCAAATTAAGCCTGTTTGTGTCAATTTTCTTGATTTGATGGTAACAAGCTTTTTCCCCCTTTTTTTTCTCTTTCATCCCTCCTCCCCTTCTCTCCTTGGAATGTTGTCCTGCTTTGCGCTGTGATTGCATGTCACTCGCTGGTGATGATGTCCTGTCACATGGCTTATTGCTGTGATAAATACCATGCCCAATTATCTCTTCCATGTTGCCATGGTTTCCATATTGCTACACTCTTCTGTATGTTCGCTTATATGATTTTCCCTCCGAAAGTTCCCATGGTGCACGGTGCTACGCCAGCCACTGTGTCCGCAGCAACAACATCTGCCACAAGTGTTCCCTTCGCTGCAACAGCCACAGCCAACCAGGTTTGCTAATTTACAGCTTTGTTTCTTAAAAAACAACTCTGCTAGGGCTCAATCCAACAGCTCTTACGCACGTGGATTTCCCATTGAGGTCAGTGGGAATCGTGTGTACGTGAGGGCTGTAGAGGGTGCTTTAATAAGCATGGGGTTTCAAAGATACCTCTTGTTGGCCTACACATTCTCTCTATGATGAGCAGCAGAATGCTTTTATGCCATTTATAAGTGCTCCAAAGTTGTCGCAGCTCCATTTCTGAAGCTACTAAAATGATATTTACACAAGCAATTCTCATTGGTTTCAACCAATTGTGCAGGTATTTTGACCAGTCAAAAATAGAGACCATTTTAAGGTTTTTATTTAAAACATTTGATATGTACAGTTTCTCAGTTCTTGCCCAAATGATTAATAGAAAGTAAAATATTTAACTGTATTACATATGCCACAAATGACCACTCTTGTAAATAGAGTTTGTTATAAATTCATTATAATCTAAATCATTTAATAAGCTAATTCAAAATAAATCATTTGTATACAGCATTTCTAAGCTTTTATTCTGAATGCTTTCAGTGAAAGAAAAATTCTAAGTGCTCTTATTTTTACAATTACCCAGCATAAATGTTGGAGATTTATGAAGAAAAAAAAAGAAATTAAGTATGACAAATTGACAATCATTCTGTATTCCATACGAGTTTATAGAGTAACACTTACGTGAGATGCTTTTAAGTGAAAGGGATTTGTTTCATAAATTTAAATCTTATGATATACAGTAATAACTATTTAAAATTAAATGATGATTTAAAATATTTAAAATTTAAAAATTGACATTCATTCACCCAGCATTTTCTGACTCTACTTAAAAATATTTTCAGAAAATACTGGTTGATTTCAAGTTTTATTTATATGAAGTAGATTTGCGCTTCAATAGAGTTGACAGTGTAAGAAAAAACTTAGAGCGAAGCCACATTTCAGATCATCCATAGATGAAGATTAAATGTAGCCAAATTAATCTCAAAAGAATCAGTATCAGATGAGAATCAACATGTTCCCCCTTGGGAAGGGAAGACCAATTGAGACATCAATTTGTTGTTATTGCTGTGAGGGGTAGCCACCCTTGTTCCACAATACATCATATACTGTTGATGAAGAATATTCAGCTATTAGTATAACCATTAAAAACTTTCAGAATCAGAATACAAAAAAATGAATTTAAAGTTTCAGTCAAGCTTTAAACGTTTCTTGGCAAAGAATTGTTAATTTCTCAGAAGCTTCTCAAAATAGCCCTGGGTTTACGTGAACACATCAGACTCATTTACAAGAATGCTAGATTGTGCATATGTGGCATGTTAATAAGTAATTTTTGGTAGAACTGTCGTGATGGACTCAATACAATCCATCTACAGTTGCAAATCAATGATAAAGAACTCTCATGTGTATACCATATATGACTGTAGAATTGCTGGTGTAAGCAGAACTATAGCAGAGCAAATTTCAACATGCCCTTGGCCACCTGGGTTGTAGGGGACACTTTACTTTTTGCATTGTGCTGTGACCATTTCATGCATAATCTTGGGTCTTCATACTATTTGACAACCAAAAGAAAGAAAAGGGAATGGATATATATATACACACATATATTATATCTACATATACATACATATGTATATGCCTACAGTACATTAGCAATGCTGGAAATAGCTGATGCCACAAAATGCAGCCTGCATGCATGCAGAAGTTTATAGCTGGCCCTTCATCTGCATCGATTGGTGTTGAAGGTCCTTGGTATGTTTCGACAGCCCCATCCTTGATGCTTCTACACTGTTGGGTGCAACATCCTGTCCTGCAGCAGCAGGAAAAATGGTATGAGAAGCTTCATTATGCTTGGAGCACATTTTCGTGCCATTTGCCAATGCTGTAAAATTGTGTAAAAATGTCAGCTGAGAACTGAAAATAAAACAGGGACATATTAATATACACGCCAGACTGTGGATTATAGTATGTTGAATTCGCCTAAGATGTCTAAATTGAAAAAAACAACAACAAAATGCCTTTGTGTATGTGATTTCGTTATTCTCCCAACAACATTGCTGAAATGGGATTAGTGTCATTTTATAGAAGCTAGTTAAGTATAGAGTAATGAGTTGCTTTGCTCAGGGTCACACAGCCATTAAATAGATCTCTTGGGGTAGAACCCATGCCTTCAGTCCTCTGACATTCTCAATCTATTGTGCTGTCTCTCTCAGGTTAGCAGCCATTAATTTTGGGTTGAAGAATCAAGCTACAAATTTGAAGTTCTTAACTTTGGGGACTATTGAAATAAGTCAACTCTATATTGGTTTCTTACTATATTTCCTCTCAAGTTATCTTCCCCATTTAAAATACAATGAAAGGTGCCATCAGGATTCAGAAATATGTTCTGAAGTAAACCTATGCTCTTACCTAGTTCTTTTGAATTACTGCTTTATAATGCTTACCTTGTATTTTTAATTTGGAAAAAAAAAAAAGTTAGACACCCTAATTTGAATGAAAATGTTAGAAATTTGGTTGCACAAAAATAGGCAAGACGTTTTCTTATCTGATTTCAGGATGAAACCACAGGGGTGTGTGTGTGTGTGTCTGTGTGTAGGCCAACAAAAAGGGCTTCTTTCAATTACTGCTCTGCATGAATTTTTGATAGTTTTACTTATCTTATTTCCTAAAAACTGGTAACATTTATAGAATAGCATTTAACATGAAGATTTTAAAAAGTTAGTTGCTACTTTGGCATTTAAGTTTACATTAACTTACTGTTATGTTGACCAGATAAGGACTGTCACCTCACAGCTGAATTTCACTTTTCTTTAAAAATTTAATATTAAAATGTTGTCATCTCTTGATTGTTGGCTTGCTTGCATGGATCATTCATTAAATAATTTTTTATTTGCTAGATACCCATAATATCTGCCGAACATCTGACTAGCCACAAGTATGTTACCCAGATGTAGAATTTTCATCACTAAACAGTAAGTTCATTATGAAATATATAGTTGCATATTTGTGGTGTTTTTTTTTAAAGATAGCAATTGTATAGTGCACTTAAAATTTTGTAAAACCTCTGAGAAAATATTTATATATAGGTCACATTTTTATTTTAAATGGGTTGAGGAATTTTATCAGACATATATATAACAAATATGTTAATATCACTTAAATATACAAAGCACCAAAAGAAAGTAATTTTTTAAAATTTCAGATTAGAAATAAACACAAGCCTAAAGAAAACATATGACCAAAAAGTAATTAGAGAGTATAGATCAAGGGTTGGCAAACTTTCTTGTAGGGTCAGACAGTAAGTATTTTTGCTGTGTGGGCCATATGGTTTCTGTTGCAGCTACTCTACTCTGCCATTGTATCATTAAAGCAGCCAGAGACCACATGTAAACAAATGGATGCAGCTGTGTTCCAGTAAAACTTTATTTACAAAAACAGGCAGTACATCACATTTTTGGCCCACAGGCAGTAGTTTGGCTGACTCCTGGTGTAAATCATCACTTATTACTATTTTATTTTATTCTTTGGCTAAACCTTAAATGAGACTATGTACTCAGTTCATCCCATGCATCACCATACACAGGGGCATTAGAATATAATGAGTTTGGCTAAGCGTGGTGGCTCATGCTTGTAATACAAGCACTTTGGGAGGCTGAGGTGGGTGGATTGGTTGAGCCCAGGTGTTTGAGACTAGCCTGAGCAACATGGTGAAACCCTGTCCTACAGAAAGTACAACAGAAAATCAGCTAGGTATGGTGGCACACTTCTATAGTTCCAGCAACTATGGAGGCTAAGGTGGGAGGATCACTTGAGCCCAGGACGTGAGGCTGGCTGCAGTGAGCCATGATTGCACCATGCTGCACTCCAGCCTGGGCAACAGAGCAAGACCTGTCTCAAGAAAAAAAAATGCAATGAGTCTGACTTGAAATAAATATATACACATCACATATATGTGTACACACAAATCTCCAAATTCATATGAATCTTAGGTACTTTAGTTACCTCGGAGGATTATATAATTCTGAAAATGTTGCAACTGTAACATTTTTAAAATGGTTTAAAAGTCTTTTATTTTGTCTTGTCTTGTATTTTGCCTTTAAAGCACTGCCTTAAGTTCTTACAAAGGTGCCCATTTTTCATTTATAGGAATATGTTTTGTCCAGTATGAGTGCATTCAAGTTATAACTTGAATGTGCTCAGTTGCTTGTTAGGTGCTCATTTTTATATTTAGAGAGAGAGAGATTACATTTGAAACTGAAATTGGTTAAGATGGGTGACCATTTTCTGTTGCTTCCTTTCATTTATTTATTTGTTTATTAACATATTTACAAATGAGCTTTTGGTGCTACTTTGTGTTAGTTATCATGGCAAGGAGATAAAGATGAATAGACAATAAGATAAAGATGTCAGGAATTTCAAGATAATACATTAAAATAAGAGAGGTTTGAAGAAATATCTCTTGGAGCAAAGATGAAGGAGCAACTATTCCAAACAGGATCTGCAAACAATTGAATTTGGATGAAGGTGATGTTCTAAAAAGAATGGAGGTGTAAAGGCCTTGTAGAAGAAGGACAGTGTGCCAAGTCAGGAGACAATGGTGGCTGAGAACCAACTCAGAAACTCTTGTGAGGTTAAAAGCTGAACAAAGTCAGAGCCCATGCAAAAGGAGGATAGGCAGAATTCAAGAGCCACTTAAGAAAGAGATGATAGACTTAGTCAGAGAAGTACTCCAAAGACATGCTGCAATCATAAATTAACTTGTTAAAATTTATTTTTGTCTATTTCATAAGCCTTCTCAAAGCAGTTCTGATAAAAAGGTTCATGATTCTGAACAATAGCCACATTTTTAGAAGAAGCAGCGTTACTTTGTAGTGTTTTAGGTTTAGAAGAAGAGTTTATTTGACATGCTAAAAAAATCTGTTTCAAGCTCTTACAGTCAATTAGGTGTGTTTAGTATGTATATATTTAACTGTATTCTATTTCTTAGCAATAATCCAGGTTGAAAAAAGATTCCCACAGTAATTAGCAAACCAGTAGGTTTGTCTGTATTGAAGCTTAAGCTCTTAGTGTTCTGTTTATTTAACAAATGATTGTTCATCTTCATAAGGAGTTGCAATGTTTAAACTGGTTTTAAGTCACTAGATGGTGATTGCTTTCATTTTCAAGGTTGTATTTTGAAGCTTACTTTTAATATATGTGAAGATTCCCTGATGGAAACAAATTTCACGTAAAAACTGGAACTATTAATTCACAAGTACATTGTACTATCTATTAAAACTTGATTCATGAGTGATAATTTTGTAATTCATAAAGGATGATTTTAATTTTTTTAGCTTTAGGAGAAAAAACCTTGACAAACTGAATTATCCAAAGCCATCACTTAAAGTATCACTCTTTTTTTTTCAAACATGCACTCTGCTTATCAAGCACCCAAATAGAATGAATCTTGTTTAATAGAGTGTATTACATGAATTTTCATTTTGTAGGCCAGACCTTTGCTCTTGAAACCTTATTAAACTTCAGAAAAGAAGTAAGTTTAAATTTTGCCTTACAACAGTGATGCTAAAAAAGAGCTTGATACTTTGAGCTTAGGATTGGTAAATATTTGAGCACATTCTACAGTTTTATTAGATTGTACATGTTATTTCATTCATACAGAGATGATAGATAAATTTTGATCTGCCTGCACTTGTGAAATGGTTTTTGTTTTTATATGAAGATATAATAACTTGCGAATATCCTGGTTAATCAGAAAGAATATTTTCATGTTAAATGTATATTAGAAACTGCTTTTAGTCATTATCTGTTTTAATAAATATTATCTCTTTTTCCCTTGTAGATCACGCTAAAGAGGAAAGGACAGTGTGCTTGGTTAGAGTAAAGGACGAGGTCATTAGCCATATTGTATATATCGTCAAGCAACACACACAAAAGTCCCTCAGCCACAAGACATCCACATATTGCATGTTAACCAGAAGAAAAGACAACATGGAAATCCACTGCACACTGTTGCCTATACACTTTGTACATTTAATTGATATTTGTGCTGAGGTGATATTCCTGTTTAAAAGAACAACATTGTCTTTCTTTTCTAGCACAGAGTTATGCATTAAAAGATGCATACCTAATTAGTTTCCTATATATTCATGCCATCTTGAAAAGACAGACTATGGTGTAACCATGATTCTATTATGTATTGGTACGTCTGTAGACCAAGATATAATTTTTTAAAAATAAGTTTATTTCTTTCAAGGTTTACAAATAACAAAGGTGCACCTTGTATTTAAAATTGCCATTATAGATGAGAGTGTGCATGCACAGTCATTTTTGTTTAAGAGTAATATTTTTAATGTAATAGATTGTAACACGTGGTGAGGGAGGGATCTGACAGAGATGAATGTGCCAAGCAAAACCACAACTGTGTATCTTTTAAAGCACATCATGGCGTTAAGTACCATGTTGTTAAGGATTCTCATGAAGTGCCATAGACTGTACATCAAATTAGAGTATTATTTCTTCAGTGTTATTGTTTTCAGAGCCACATTTTGTTGCATATTTGCTAGTTCTAATCAGTCAAAGGGCACCATTCTTTTTGTTTGTTTGTTTGTTTTGAAACCAAAGCTGTCTCAGAAATGGCCAATTTAACTTTACAGTAACTATAGACAGCACAACACAAACTCTCTCAATACAGATAAACTCACACATACTGGATATATATATAATAGATATATGTAAAATTATTTTAAAGCATTGTAGTTAATATTTATGCATACTATACCGTATAACATGTTATTCAAAAGGGATTGCCATTTCTGAGACACAATAACAAAAATAATGTTTGAGGAAATTATTTTGCTTCTATTTATAGCCTCTGTCAAAAGTCAAAAGACTATAAATGCTTTGCAAAAATGGTTTCACATTTGCTTAAATGCTTCATCACAGTCACATTCAAAATAGTGACTCTAAACAAAGAAGAAAGCAGCACTGTCATCAGATGCATGATAAACCAAAATATGAAAATGGGAAATGTTTAATTAACCTAGTAATTGGGTGGGTTAAGTACATGGGTGAATTTTATATGTGATTTTTTTTTTTGTTTTCTTTTGTTCAGATTAACTGCTTATAGCCTTAGAAAGCCTTTACAAAATTTTAAAAAAATAGATGTGCATTCAGTTTTTAAGAATGGATTCATCCAAAGGAATTCCTTTTTTTGAGGTTTGGATGTTGCAGCTAGTAAAGGATATTTTTGCTCTGTTCAGCAGTTCTAAAAATTGCTGAAGTAGGGGCCAGGTCACTGGTAGTTATAGTATGGAATGGGAGAAGTGAAAGTTCAGTTATAGAACTTTCCATACTTCCAAGTTTACTGCAAGTTTTTATGCTTGAGAGAGATGCTTTCTAATATAAGACTGATGTGTTGATTTTACTGATTGTACTGTACATCTATTAAAGCCTTAGATTATTACATTACGGGTTGGAACCCATACCAATGTAATTTCAATCGTGTTAAGAAAGTAATGGTGACTTCACATGTTATTGTAGTTAGTTACATTATAGAATATTACTTATTTTTCTTGTTAAAATGTAGTTTTTCATTTCCTACATTTATTAGATTTTCATTTTCTATTAACAATTGAATACCATTTCAGTTTATAGACTATTGTTTTATTAGATTTTACGGATGAATTTTTCAAAATACAAAAAAAGTAGTGTTTCCTTCATAACATACTCAGTTTTGAATTACATGTAGTGTCACATGAATATTCGTATTGTTAACTAAATGATTTATATTTTACTGATTTAATATTACAGTGTAAGAATGTCAGTCATTGTTAGTTCTTGTCTAGTTTTCATTAAAAGAACAAAGATCTTTTATATGGATATCTTATAAATATATAATCATTGCTAAGTAAGAAGTTAAGTTGTTGCTATTGCAACAATCCTGGCAGACAATTGAGTAATATTTTGATGATTTATTTTGTTTGTAATTAGTTATTATAAGAAGATCTAGATCCTAGATATTAGAATAAAATTTATTTTCTACTGTATCCATTTCAAATGTTAAAATATTGTTTAATATTTTTGAAATCCCTGAATATCAGGCCTTGTTATAAATAAGCTGCATAATCAATAAATAGAACAAGGGACTTTTTGTTGATAATCCAAATACTCAAAGTTTACGTAATGAAAATTACAGCGTGTGTGCAAACTCTTGAGGGTTGATTATGCTGCAGTTTAGCATGTGGGGACGTCTAGAGAGAAGGTTGACTTTTTGCACTTCTGTATATAGTCAAAAGAGAGAAACCTGTATAATAGTAAGATCTTATTTTGAATAAAAACGTCTATAATTACAAGGAGTTTTGTTAAGGCTAATACAATGACAGACTGAGCAAAATTGCTTGCAAAAGTGGCACAGAGTTAGCACTCCATACCCCTTCAAACATGTTGCTTTGCTTTCTTGTGGACAGCTTGTAGTTTGCCAGGATTTTTTCAGCTGGAAAGATACGCCGTCCTTTCAAACCCTCATGACTGACAAAAACTCCATGGGGCCAAATCTGCCTGAAGATCATTACCAAAAATAGCAGGTACTTCCACCATTAAGGTGAAATCATGGATCAGATATTCCTTACATTTTTCAAAACTACTGCATGTTTAAAACTTCAACAAAAAAAGAGAGAAAGAACTATACTAAGAACATATATTATTCAGATCAGTTTCTGCCAATTTCAGTGGTTTATTGTTCACAAAAAAAATCTTCAAAACAAGTATTGACTTTCACAAAATTTAAATCATAAACAGGCAAACCAAACAGCACACTGTAGCTATAGTTGTTATGTGATTGTTTTTTAATTGCCGTAGGATCCTGTTCTTTCAGCAGGTGAAAAATAAAACGCAGTTCAAATTTCACGGTTTTAATTTTCAACTCAGAAGCACTCAAAAATGCAAAATATGACAATGGGCACTTGTTAAATGAATTAGTATATCCAGCCTTCACTCCAGCTGGTTAATAATGTTGCACTTATCAGCAACCCTACCACTTTCATCTGCTGAAAGGACAAATGTGCTTGGTTTTACTATTATGTAATCACAACTTACTTTCTGCTTGTAGTTGCTTAAAATTATGTATTTTGTCTTGGGCTGCAATTTGTTTTATGCTTATTTTATTATTACTGCAGTAGTTGACTTTGCTGTATGGAAAAATAAAGTGAAATTGCCCTAATAAAACTTCTCTTTCTTAAGTATATTTGTGTATCTGAGATTGAATACTAAATTATTTTTGTGTATTTCATGTATTCTTGCATGTGTATCTTTACAAACATATTGATGTATAAATTTGTTGTCTGGTTTTAACTGATTGCAACTGCAAGGAAGGCATTTGTTGTCTTTCTCACCAATTATCCTTTGATACTGAGAGGGAGAAACGACATCAGGATATATTGCCATCCTGTACCCAGTGTTTTCTGAAAATCTTGCCTTCTTCCCCTGTCTGACACTTTAAGTGCTGATTGAAATCATTTTAGGTGTTGGGGTGAAAAGTGCTAAGAAAAAACATTATCAATTATAGATCACAGACTTTCTATTAAAGAATTATTATTTGCCTGACTGCCGCATCAGTTGACTAGCACTGGAAATCAGGCAATCCAAGAGAGATGATGGCACTATATTTATAGGGACAAAAGAATTTATGCATATGACCTGTGAGCCAGGCCATGATATTACTCCTGAGGTATGTGTGTATGTGAATTTCTTAAACACTAGATTAAAAATTTGAAGTGGGACCTGGCATCACATATAAGCTTTGGAGTTTCTACAGACAGCCAGTGAATGCCAGAGTTTCAACGTGAAGAACATGCACATTTTGTCATTTAGTACTACTTTATGCTGACTGCCATTTGGTATTTGGTCAAGGGTTGCAAATGCTCATTTGTAGGTTGATGCCTTTTTTCCTAAAATGTATTGGGATAAAAATAAGTGCGTTATTCATAATCAATACAGTTCTGTTACTGGTTGAGTTCTAAAGGACAATTCTGTTATTTTCAGTAGGTCCAACTGTTCTGGGTGACACTTGTCAAAAAGAGAAGGTGATGCCTCGAGGTGATTATCTAAAGCAGGAGTTCACAGCCCTTTTTGAGTAATATCAAGGCATCTGGTTCTTTCCAGTTAGTGATAATACTTTGGAAATATTTTCATTGGAAAAAAAATACAGTAACCAACCCTTGTAACTTTCACAGTACTTTAAATGAAACTATTTTGTTAATCACAACAGCATATACATGCATCTGAAAAATTATTTCAGAAGGAGTTATTATTACAAAGCCCACTAGGGGTCCTCAGCTCACAGAATGGGACCCTGTGTTAGAAGTCATTGATTTTTCGTTTGGAGAACAAAATCATTTGCTAGAGCTATTACTTCATCACAGACCCTTGGTACTCATGGAATTTGAACTTTGGAATGACACTAAAGGCCAGTGATGTAGAAATCTATCATTTTACTGAGGCATACAGCTGCTTTCATACAAGAACTAGCCACTAAAGCACTGGGGAGATATTGCAGTGGTTGAGGAAGTGGTGGCTCAAGAAAAGTACCAGTACTTTTAAAAGATCCTCCAGATAATTGGTTCCTATCTGCAGGAATTCTGATTTAATGACTCTGGAGGAAAGTACTGGTTTAATACATATAAAGAACTTAGAAAGGTGCTTGCTTTATAGCATGTAATTGATACATGATAACTATGCTTGCTATTTTATCCATTTTAAAAATCACTTATTCAGCTTTTTATCCTAGTTCTTGGATTACACATCCCTTTCAAAATAGCCAGGTACACACTATCTCTATTCATTTTCATTATCTGTAATTCTATCTTTCCTGTTTAGCAATGAAACTATCTTGTAATTTACCACCACAACAGGTCCTGCTGTGGCTTCATTTGTAGTATTTCAAAAACAGAATCAAGTACGTTTTTATTAACTCTGAAAAAAATTTTGTGTAGTTCTTATTCCAATTTGATATAGTCACAGATAACAGCCCATTTAGACCCAATTTGAAAGTAAGTGTTTAGGCATATCTAAGCTTAACTCTTTGAATCCCCCTTTAAATACTTGAACTGTGTTCAAGATCAGATAATAGAATGAATGCCTCATCATGAAAATGGTACCATTAATATATTTTAAATATTTTTATTATATTTATCAAAATAATACTAGTAACATTTGAGTGGCACTAGTATATTTCTATAAGGTATTTTATCAGGTTTATTTTGAATGCTTAAATTAGTACTATCTCAATAAACATTAGAATCTAGTTGTATACTGTACATGATGCTAGGCCAGTCTGAGATCAAGGATCAATGGCAAGAACCTCACAGTGTAATGACTAAAACAAAATATGTAGAATATGTGATTTCATCTGAATAGACACTGATCTAGTATTTCCCTCCTCCCTCACTAGTTCTAACCTCTTTATACCGCAAAATAATTTAGAATAAAATTAAATAAAAACTACACTTGGCCGGGTGCGGTGGCTTACGCCTGTAATCACAGCACTTTGGGAGGCCAAGGTGGGCGGATCATGAGGTCGAGAGATCGAGACCATCCTGACCAACATGGTGAAACCCCATCTCTACTAAAAAATACAAAAATTAGCTGGGCGTGGTGGCACATGCGTGTAGTCCCAGCTACTCGGGAGGCTAAGGCAGGAGCATTGATTGAACCTGAGAGGCGGAGATTGCAGTGAGCCGAGATTGGGCCACTGCACTCCAGCCTGGTGCCTGGTGACAGAGCAAGACCCTGTTTCAAAAAAAAACAAAAAACAGTACACTCTCTTCTGGATATAATGATATGACTACACTACTTATTGTGTAACTCATTTTTTCCTTAAAAAGCAACTTGCATATTGAAAACGTATTTTTTAATAAGCATGTTCATTTCAGCATTTTTATCATGGCAACATTCTGATCTCAGGAATTGATTCGATACTTCAGAAATAGTTAAGTGAAGTATCATAGAGTGTTATATATTTTAAAGACATTTTTTCAAGAATGATTTAATCACATAGGAAAGTGATTTTAGTGGTAAGATAATAGATTTTAATTTTCTGACTTTTTGGAGATTTCTAGTTTGTTTAGTGAATATTCATTGCATTTTAAGTTTCTGTATTTTTTTTAAAAAAAAACAATTATTTACATTTTTTCTTAGATCATTTCCTGGTTTGAGTCAGCTTGTCATCTTCAGAATATGGAGACGTCCTAGAAAGCTTCCACTTTACCTATCACTGTTAGTTGAGAAATTATAGAAAACACCTTGACAAATCAGTAAATATGTATGCTGTTTTAGTAAAAAATAGCAAAAGGATATTAAAACTCCTTTTAACATTTTTTTTTCCTCGTTCTGTTGCTCAGGCTGGAGTGCAGTGGCATGATCTTGTCCTAGTGCAACGTCTGCCTCTGGGGTTCAAGCGATTCTCCTGCCTCAGCCTCCTGAGTAGCTGGGATGACAGGCATGTGCAACCATGCCTGGCTAATATTTGTATTTTTAGTAGAGATGGGGTTTCACCATGTTGATCAGGCTGGTCTCTTAACTGCTGACCTAATGATCTGCCTGCCTCAGCCTCCCAAAGTGCTGGGATTACAGGCATAAGCCACTGCACCCGGACTTAACTTTTTTCTTTAATTGTTCTTTGGTTTTTTTGTTTTGTTTTGTTTTGTTTTTTGAGACAGGACCTTGCGCTATTGTCCAGTCGAGTTCAGTGGCATAAACATGGCTACCTGCAGTCTCAACCATATGGACTTAAGCAATCCTCCCACCTCAGCCTCTCAAGTAGCTGAGACTACAGGCCTGCACCACCAAACCTGGCTAATTTTTTAAATTTTTTGCAGAGATGGGGTCTTCCTATTAGCCCAGGTGGGTCTTGAACTCCTGGGCTCCAGCAGTCCACCTTGCTCTTTCAAAGTGCTGGGATTACAAGCATGAGCCACTGTACCTGGCTGCTCCTTTTTTTTTTTTTTTATTTTTTTATTTTGCTTTAAGTTTTGGGATACATGTGCAGAACGTGCAGGTTTGTACATAGGTACACATGTGCAGTGGTGGTTTGCTCCACCTATCATCCATCGTCTATGTTTTAAGCCCCACGTGCATTAGGTATTTGTTCTTTTTTTTTTTATTGCATTTTAGGTTTTGGGGTACATGTGCAGAGCATGCAATACAGTTGCATAGGTACACACATTGCAGTGTGTTTTGTTTGCTTTCTCCCCTTCACCCACATTTGGTATTTCTCCCCTGGCAATCCCTCCCCACCTCCCCCTCCCACTGGCCCTCCCCTTTCCCCCCTATAGACCCCAGTATTTAGTACTCCCCTCTCTGTGTCCATGTGTTCTCATTTTTCATCACCCGCCTATGAGTGAGAATATGCGGTGTTTCATTTTCTGTTCTTGTGTCAGTTTGCTGAGAATGATGTTCTCCAGATTCATCCATGTCCCTACAAACGACACGAACTCATCATTTCTGATTGCTGCATAATATTCCATGGTGTATATGTGCCACATTTTCCCAATCCAGTCTATCATCGATGGGCATTTGGGTTGATTCCAGGTCTTTGCTATTGTAAACAGTGCTGCAATGAACATTCGTGTGCATGTGTCCTTGTAGTAGAACGATTTATAGACCTTTGGATATATTTCCAGTAATGGGATTGCTGGGTCAAATGGGATTTCTATTTCTAAGGCCTTGAGGAATCGCCACACCGTCTTCCACAATGGTTGGACTAATTTACACTCCCACCAACAGTGTAAAAGTGTTCCTTTTTCTCCACATCCTCACCAGCATCTGTTGCCTCCAGATTTAATGATCGCCATTCTAACTGGCGTGAGATGGTATCTCAGTGTGGTTTTGATTTGCATCTCTCTGATGACCAGTGACGATGAGCATTTTTTCATATGATTGTTGGCCTCATATATGTCTTCTTTCGTAAAGTGTCTGTTCATATCCTTTGACCACTTTTGAATGGGCTTGTTTGTTTTATTCCTGTAAATCTGTTTGAGTTCTTTGTAAATTCTGGATATCAGCCCTTTGTCAGATGGGTAAACTGCAAAAATTTTTTCCCATTCTGTTGGTTGCCGATTCACACTAGAGACTGTTTCTTTTGCTGTGCAGAAGCTGTGGAGTTTCATTAGGTCCCATTTGTCTATTTTGGCTTTTGTTGCCAATGCTTTTGGTGTTTTGTTCATGAAGTCCTTGCCTACTCCTA